ATGGTAAGTGGAAATTACCAGTGCCATTGGGCTGAAAGACCAATGCGTAATCGGAATCAGTTCCTTGCTCCGCGAATTGGTCACCATTGCCTGCAACGATTGCTGCCTGTACAAAAAATTTCCTCTTGCTGAGTATACTAAAAAAGGTTTAGTCCGTTCAATACTATTTACGCTCGAAAGATTTTCATCAGTTTCTTTAAATGTACAGTTATACATTGGGCCCGGGCAATTGTTGGGTCCGGCATACCAACAAATTATTTAATCAAAAAAAAAACCAAATTCACATATTCATGCATGAATGCAGAGGAGCTGGAAATCTCAATATAATTTCACGAGCACATTAGTGGGCGGCAAATAACGTCGTAAAATTACAGCTCTCTACAAATTCTTGTTCAGTTTAATTTTTGAGTTGATATCATGCCAATTTTAACTATGACTTATACATACTTAAGACCGAGGATCCGTAAAGGCTGAATTTAAAATCTTTTGGTTGGGCGTGGGCAAGGCAAATCTTTGCAGAGTTCCAGCCTTTTAGCTTGCGTGGCTACTGTAATCGCTCTCCAGCCAAAATAACACACTCGACACAGTTTTTTCTTTGGAGCTTTTTTTGAGATATACCAGTTATCTTGATGTGTTTCCCCTCTTCTTCAGCTGCACTTCCTTCATCATATTCACCTTCGTCACTATCATCGTCTGTTTCGTTGCCCGTTTCTCCTCCTGCTTTGTTGCCCTCGCCAATCAACAGTAACTCAGTGCCGAAATCCAAATCATCGTCTGCATCGTCCTCCATTTTCATTTGATCCGAACTGCTGCCATGGCTGCCAGCGATTTCCGTATCCGCCAAAGCCTCGTTCACAGGCAAAACATCGATATCACTGCCATCCGAAACCACCTTAAACAATTTTAACGGTTTCCAAGAAGAAAGCGTTCGAAATTTTCGTTGTTATTCAAAACTCACTGGACCCTCTGTAGAAGAGGATTTATGAATTTAAAAAATAGATGGTGCATTTGAGGACAAATCGAATATCTTTAAACCCTGATCCAGTCGCTTTGCCTTTGACTGCGACTGAACACAAGGGATAACAAACCCATTAATTATTCGAATAACCATAGGACGAACAAATGGTACTTATGTCGGGTTACATTTTTGTATGGGACCCAAGCATCCTGTGCTTTCATCATAAGTTTGGATTATAAAAAACTTGCAATTACAGAGTCATCGGGATTGTCCAAATTCTCGAATTCATTGCTGACAGGTAAACCAACTTGCGCCACATCATCTGCAGTGATTTGATAATTCATTCAACAGCCGACATAGATTCAGTAACCTTTATTTCGGTAAGGGTCAGAATTTGGAGAAAGAGTTCAACATTTGCATAGCACCGTGTGTAAATTAATCGTACAAAACTCAAGAAACTGCTCATGCCAAGTCACATGAAGCACAAACTAAGGATTCTGCATTAGAGGGAGTAATAGTTACCTGAAGTGCGAGCAGTGGGAGGAATGGTACTTGCTGGGGTGATAACAGCGCACGCGAAAATAAGCGCTGCGGCAATCAACATTCTTTTTGTTCGTAGCGTTTGCTAGCCACTGGCCTGTTTTTATAGCAATGAGACGAGAAGTCATCCTTGTAGCAGTATTTCTCATGGATTAGCAACATATCGACAAAGGAATGAGTAAGGATCGCCGAAGAGTACGGGTGACAAGGAGGGAAGTGAGACTGAAAATTTTTGTGTAATCCGGAATGTAACATTCGAGATGATAAATTTTAGGCTTATGTAAATGAACAGCAGCACATACCACGATTTTAGTTGTAACGGATTAGTAGGCCAATGTATAAATTATCTTGATATTCCATGTATTTGGTAAAAACCATATCTAGAAACTTACACTGCTGTAACTGAGTTATCTGAAGAACCTACACGCAAGCACCAATCCGAACGTATATACATACGCTATCACTGCGCAAGTACGGTGGAAAAGCACTGCTATTGTACTATTTCAAGATGATGGTGTCTAAAAACGAAAGTGGGCACAGGAACACAAGTTGAATAGACATGATGAAACGTGCAGGAAATTCTTGTTCGCACCAAATGCTAGCATGTCAGTACCTGTAATTTACGTTATCAAGCACCAAATCCCTTCGCTATCTTTTAGCGAGGTGAGGTACGCAGCCTTTTATTTGAAAAGCGGAAAAGTTCTTGGTAATGATGGCATTATTGTGAAATCCAAAAAAAAGAAAAGCGCTCTGGAAAGATTCCGTCGAGACGTTACTAGGCTCAAAGACGGGTAACCAGCAGCTAAAA